AAAAGGAAGTAATTTCGTCGAATGTGTTAAATTTCCTTCGATAGTTTATGACCGACAGATAATGTTAGTGAACAATGTTTGGGTCGCAATTTTCAGCAAACTGCATTGTCAATATCTGTCGAAATTTTTTTACCACTTAGTCTACGGAAAACAATATTGTCATTTGTGAATGACTTTTCCATTGTTGTTTTGTCGATGATTTTGGTTGAAAAGGTGTTTAGTTTTTTAGGAATAAGAATTTTGTATTCCATTGAAATGACCTTCAATTTTTCGATCGATAATACGATTGAAAATCTAATTCTTTTTATTTTTATAATGGATTCAAATTTCTGTTGAAAACGAATATGTCCCCTATTTTTATATTCAAATTTCCTAGTTTAAAAAATGAGGATTGCATAACCTAATTAACACTTATGTTCACATTTCTGTTATCTGAATATTTGTCAATCATGCCCAGTACCTAGGGGAACCAAAACGTGTCAGCGGGTCGTGTTTGTGTCGTGTCAAGTCCGACTCTCTGGTCAAATTTTTCAACCTGTACACGACACACCTCGGGTCGCAGGTCACACTAGTTGACCCACAAAAATAGATAATTTGATTTTTTAAAATAAAAATAAAAGGGAAAAAGTGAATAAAATACACAAGTTAACCCACAATGGGGTGTGTAAAAATACCAAAATTTCAACTTTTTTTTTTCTTTATAAATTTTTTTTTTGGTTGACACGCTGGTCACACAAGTGAACCCGTGATACGACACATTAAGTCATGTCATTTATCCAAATTCACACACTAATCATTTTATTCCATGGATTGACATGACCCATCTTATGTCGCAAGTTGATCCGTAGATCATGAGATGTTTTGCCATCTCTACCTGTGACATCCAAGAATATAACACATTTGAACCATAAAAATTGAGGAGTTAATGATAAGTTAAAATTCAATACAAATAACTAACAGTAAATTGAAATCCAACAATCCAAATTGAATAATTAATGGAAAATAAATTTTTTTATGTTGTAGAAAAAAATTATCTCATATAATAGAAACAAAATTACAAGTGAGACCCACAGATAAGAAGAGAGAAAAAAATAAAGTTAGGAGTTAGGACCTATTCCTCTTTTTTGTGTGTAGGAAATTAACTTCTCTTATATAACATGAGATAAATATAACCCATAATTAATACTCCGAAACGTGTGTCAAATGTAAGATAAATAAAAAATGTCATGAAACACTTGGGATTGTTGGATTTCAATTTACTGTTAGTTATGTGTCCGTCTCTTTTAAAGGTATGTGTCCTCTTGTAGACTTGTCAAGCCATTGAACTTAAATTGTTATTCCCTTTTGCTCGTTGCATAATAATAAAAATTTATGTTATCAAAAAAAAAAAAAAAAAATTTAAATATCGTCCACACGTAACAATAACATTACATAAACACCAACCTAAATATATGAAGCAACTTTGGACAATACTTACCAATCACTTCTTATACTCGGCAATAGGAATTGAGCCTCCGATATGCGAAGGTATTAGGTGTATCTATTCTTCTTGTTCTCTCGTGTCTTCTCCCAATCTTCATTGTCCGTACAATAATCCTGCTTCTTCTGACTTTTCTAGCGAATATCCGAATTCTCAAGAAAATATTCGAAAGGCATAATATGATTACGATTTTAATCATTAACAAAAAAAAAAAACCTTACATATTTCTCTTAATTATGTAACAAAACCTTACATATTCGAAAATATTAGTATAACCAAAGAAGCACGGACACTTGTAAAAACAGGAAGAGTCGTGTTCGACACGGCGACACGCTCCGACACGGTGTCGGACACGCGGTCAACTCTTTTCGACACGTTAACCATTCCGACACGCGAATTTGATCGTGTCCGACACGGTCAAATGACATTTTCGTAATTTTTTTTTAATTTTTTTAAAAATAATAATAATTTTTTTTAAAATTAAAATATAATAATAAAGCTTTCACCTGATCATATCAATTTTATTTTTTTTGTCTTTTTTTCTCTTAAGTAGATAAGAGATCATCTCAGCATCATTGTTGTCAATTCATATCACGCTCTTGTTGTATCTCCTTGTCTCTGATCTCTCTCTAATATGATTTGATCTCTCTATCTGATATATATCTCTCTCATCCCAGTTCTTATTTTTTTTATTAAAGCTTCCATCTTTATAACGTGTTGATGGGTATTATTAATTTACTTTCGTTTTTTGTTAAATTATTAAATATTAAATGAAATATACACTATATAAATTAAAAATATTATTTAATATTAAACCGTGTCCCAACATGTCAAAATCCATAATTTTTTAAGATTGATATGTCGACTTATCGTGTCGTGTCGTGTCACGTGTCGTATCAGTAGTACATAGAGTATAACTTTCCTTTCAAAACCTTTTAATTATGTCATCAATTTGCGCAACTCATTCCCCGTGTCTTACGTATACAAGCAAACAAGTAACCTTGTCATTCTCTAGTGTAAACCTGCTGTACTTTTTCCTAATCAATTAAGGCCTATGGTTGCATCATTGCATGGATGGGGCATGGCATGGAATTTTTTTTTTGCTTTTGTTCTTTTCGAGATTGCATGGCACCAGAATTTGGTGAAAGGGTACAAAACAGAGTGCAGAATATGGAGTCCTGTACCATGTCCCATGCATTTGGCATGGCCTAAAGCGGCACCCACGAGTAAACCAACTATATTTTATTACAATAACCTCATGCAAGTTAGTTGACTTTTTAGTCTGCCAGTGTGGCAGTGTCAATTACCAAAAACACCCCTGCCCACCCTTCTACATACATGCATAGGTATCTATTATGGTGGTTACAACTTACAACGATATTGTATTTTAATCTGGCTCTTATTATTTTTGATTAGGAAGTTTGGGAGGGAAAGCATGTGGCAAATAGTATTATCGTCATTAAAAAAAAAATTGTAGCTAGCTTATTGATATTTTCATATTCAATTTATTAGGTAAGCAAGAAGCTTTCTTTGAACTTTCAACTACTCACAAATGACAATATAATGAACCAATGAAATTAATATTTAATGCGCCACTTAACACCCACAATGGAGAACCCATTGTAATAATTAATATTATCTGATCCAATTTTCGTTACTGCTTCAGAAGAGGGTATACTAAAGTGAATGGGAAAATATTGTGGATTATTTTCAATTTTTCTACCTAAGTACATAGAGATGAAGAGCTCATAAACGAATATTAAATATTTTTAGATATATTTTTTTGCCAATAATGTCTGCAATTAGATGAGTACAAGATCAAGCAATTAAGATTTTACTCTTAATTTTAGATCATTTTGATTTGATAGATAAGTTTGATAAAGTAGTGAGATCAACGGCTGCCATAAGTTCACATACGAAATGAGCATAAATAATAGGTCCTTGGCAACAACAATAAAGTTGGAATGAACCCCTTCTTTCGGTGGCATGATCAACATAACCACGTAATGTCAACGTTCTCATCTTTTCATGGTAGTCTTTTACTATAACACGTAATTACTGGTAAACGAAGTGAGAACTAGAATTTTTAATAGGACGAATTAAATAAATCACGTAAGTATTTTATTCAAAGGTCAATGATGATTCTTTAACTGAATTTTATTTTTTTATTTTTTGTCAGTGTAATGTCCTGGGTTAAGAAAAGAAGGGTGTAAAGTGACAGCGTTTCTCACTAACAATCCTATGATTGACCGGAGCCATAGAAAATTATGTCAAGAAATTAAAAACGAAGGAGAAGCAGCACCTATAGATCAGTTACAGCCATTAAATATTGGGGAAAGTACTTCTTATGTGACTGCAGAAGGGAAAATTTGCAGCAACACAGGATACGCGTTCGAATCCTGGATTTTTTTTGTTTTTTTTGTTTTGATAGGATCCGCACGTGTATCCTAGTGTTAAAAATTTGCTGCAACTTTTCTCATCAGCAGCAACATGAGAACCGACGGATCCTTAAATATTACTTGTATGTTAAAGTTTATGTTCTTCGCGTGAGTTAGTGACTAGACTAAACAACACATATATAATCGTGCATAAAAAAAATAACACATATATAAGTCACCGTATTTATTTCATTACTCTAATGGGCTCCTCCATATGCACCTCCTATTTGCACGGTTTAAAATAATATGTAGCCTTTGGCTTCTAATAAAAGATTACTGAATGAGTTTCTTACTTCATTTGCATGTGATGCAGCTGTTCCCACAAGCATATACAGCTCATCTTCCATCATTACCAATACACCATCATTGCAAAGACCCCTTTTTGGATTTCCAACCTCTTAACTGCTTCTGAAACTAGATGGACCTAGGGGTATAGACTATAGAGGATATTGCTGGCTTTCTATGGATCTTAACTAGTTTGGGTGAATTTTGTTCTCTATAAGTGAGCTGTAAGTATTCCTTTTCTCTCTTTTTATTGAAGTTTTTACCGTCAATTGCTCTGCTTTTTAGCTTTATATATACCTCTGTTCAGTTGGATTATTTCCAACATGAAAGGAAAGAATAAACTGTAGAGTTTAGTTTCTGGTATTTATGTTTCCGAATTCCATAACATGATCTTTTTATTAGTCTGTCAAAATCATGGTCAACAGATTATTATTGTTTAATTAACTTTTAGTTAAAATGTTTTGGTTTGCATCATTTTTTGTTGCAGTCATTAGGGAAATCAGCGGAGTAGGTGAGCAAAAAAATTGCTATTAAGGTTAATTTCGATGTCAAACACAGGTGCTCATTTTGACCAGTAAAATGCATAACGTACACACAAAAAAGTCTAATCACCAATTGTCTTTGGTTAAGGTTTGCGTATATATATCAAATACTCCTGTTTAATTCACTAATCATATGTTATCTCTCTCTCTCTCTCCAGTTTGGTTTCATGTAGAATTGACCAATATCTTGAGGAGAGTCCTTACTTTACATCCAAGTTGTCTTGAACTGTTGATCTTCTCTCTTCAAGCCAGAAAATGGACAAGAAGCTTGCCCTCTTGTTCATTTTTTCAGCAGTGTTCGTTAGTATTATTGGAGCTGAACCAGTGGAAGATAAACAAGCTTTGCTTGATTTCCTTCACAACATGGATCACTCTCCTCATTTCAACTGGGATGAAAACTCTTCTGTTTGCAAAAGCTGGAGAGGGGTGACTTGTAACACAGAACAATCCCGAGTTATAGCTCTCAGATTGCCTGGAACAAGGTTGAGAGGTCCAATCCCACACAACACACTTAGTCGCCTATCAGCACTTCAGATTGTGAGTCTTAGATCAAATGGTATAACGGGTCCTTTCCCATCTGGTTTCTCTGAGCTAAAAAATTTAACCGGCCTCTATCTCCAATTTAACAAGTTTTCTGGCCCATTGCCATTGGATTTTTCAGTTTGGAATAATCTTACTGTTGTCAATTTGTCCAACAATTCTTTTAATGGGAGCATCCCTTTTTCAATTTCAAATTTGACTCATCTCACTTCATTAGTCCTTGCAAACAACTCACTTTCGGGTGAGATTCCTGATCTCAATATATATAGCCTTCAAGAGCTAAATTTGGCCAACAATAACCTTAGTGGGGTTGTGCCTAAGTCCCTTCTTAGATTTCCCAGTTCGGTCTTTGCTGGTAACAATCTTACATCTGCAAACGCACTTCCTCCAGCTTTTCCCGTGCAACCACCGAGTGCTCCTCCTTCAAAGAAAACCAAAGGAATTAGTGAAATTGCATTGTTGGGTGTCGTTATTGGTGTTTGTGCGCTGGGATTTGCGTTGGTAGCACTTTTCATGATTGTCTGCTGCTATATTAATGAAGATGTAGACGAGCAACCAGTGAAATCCCAGAAAAAAGAAGTCCCTCTGAAAGAAGAATCTTCTGAAAAAGGTGATAAAAACAAAGTAGTCTTCTTTGAGGATTGCAATCTTGCATTTGATATGGAGGACCTGTTGAGAGCGTCTGCTGAGATTCTTGGAAAGGGTACCTTTGGTGCAACATATAAGGCTGCTCTAGAGGATGCAACCACTGTGGTGGTGAAGAGGTTGAAGGATGTCACAGTTGGAAAACGAGACTTTGAACAGCAGATGGAAGTGGTGGGGAAAATTAAGCACGACAATGTGACTGCATTAAGGGCATATTATTATTCCAAGGAGGAGAAACTTATAGTATATGACTACTATCAACAAGGCAGTGTTTCTGCAATGTTACATGGTATGTTGAATCTTTTCTCTTATCTTCAACTTCTCAAGTTTTTCCCAACAGGCTCACAAATTGAAAAATTGGTTTTCTGCAATCATATAATAGATTTGTTTCTTTAAGCCTACCCAGGTCTTAACCACAAGGTATGTAGTACAACTTCCAATGAATTGTTCTGTCCTCCTATTTAGTGTCTCATATCTCAATATTTTCTAGTAAGTTTTAGAGCCTAGTAGTATGTCATCAGGGATGTTCCAAATTAAAATTTATCACTGACTATAGGTGCATTAAACTCGTAAATCATTAATGATAAATCTAGGAAGCAGTTGGTCATATGGGTTGATTCAATGAATAGATGAATACTAAGGCAGGAGCAAATATTCATTTTCCCCAACTCATGCGTCTAGGTTGAAACCAACAAAGTTGGAAGTGGCTAATGTAAGTATGTTTTTGCATCTCCATTATGCAGGCAAAGGAGTGGAAGGCAGAAAGAGGTCTTTAGACTGGGATAGCCGTTTGAGAATTGCAATTGGTGCAGCGAGAGGCATTACTCACATCCATTCTCAACAAGGAGGGAAACTGGTTCATGGAAACATAAAAGCCTCAAACATCTTCCTCAACTCAGAAGGGTATGGTTGTATGTCTGATATGGGGTTGGCAACATTAATGAGTCCAATTCCCCCACCAGCAATGAGGGCTGCAGGATACCGTGCCCCAGAAGTAACAGACACTCGTAAAGCAACCCAAGCATCTGATGTCTACAGTTTTGGGGTTCTTCTACTTGAGCTTCTAACTGGGAAATCCCCCATAAATGCCACAGAAAGTGAGCAGGTTTTCCACTTGGTTAGATGGGTGAATTCTGTGGTTAGAGAGGAATGGACTGCTGAAGTGTTTGATGTAGAGCTGTTGAGGTATCCAAATATAGAGGAAGCAATGGTAGAGATGCTACAAATAGGGATGGCCTGTGCAGCAGAAGTACCAGATCAGAGACCAAAAATGCAGGACGTGGTGAGAATGACGGAGGATATTCGTCGTGTAAATTCAGGAAATCGACCATCCTCTGGATCCAGATCAGAAGTTTCTACCCCAACTCCTCTTGCAATTGACATACCTTCTACCTCTGTTCCACAGTGAGATTCTTTTGTTTTCGTCAATAGTTGTTAAGATGTAATCGATGTCTCAATTTCAACTATATTCTTAACAGGAGAAATGCTATCCATCTAGTGGGTCTTGGAAGTTAGTTAAAATAAAATAAAATTGGTACCAAGTAGTTAAGCTACCCGATTTAGCTGATGGCAAATCAAGTTGGGTCCCTAGCTAGTGACTATTGTGTTGTATTAGGCCGGTAGAGAATGTCTTGATGTGTTATGCTTGTGGAGTTGGGATCCACAATGACAATGGAACCCGAGTTTTGACAGCATATCTGTGTCAGGTGTTGTCAAGAACTGCACACAGGACACCTAAAAAGTTATGGTTAGCAATTCACTCTCAGACCACTCGATATATTAAAACATCAAAATTTGATTAAACTAGCCGATAATAATAAAAAAATATATATATACTTCATAAACATTTTTATATACATTTCAAGTCATTACATCTGAATTATTTCTTTGACTTTATCCGGTACAACTAATTACAACTGAACATGAAGCTAGAGTCTTACCAATTTACTTATAAATCAAAACTGAACTCTTAATATTTTTCACTTGTTGGAAAAACATAATTTTTGTTGTGTCCAAATTGCGAAAGGGAGAATAAAATTGATAATGGAGACAAAAATGCTAGATATGGTTGTTTTATGCTCACAATTCTCCATTTTACAAATAAGTAACGTGAGAACTGTATTTTCTATTTCACTGACGTTTGAAGTGAATAATTTAATCTAAAAAGATTGGTCAAATTGTTGAAGAAGTATGGTTCACGACTCTGATCGAACCTTGCGTAAGACTAGAAATTAATTAATCCCACTAAATGTACTATGCTGATGGAAGAAGTTTGTCCTCTAAATGCATCGATCCTTAAGATCGCCAGAGATTGGATGTAAAGGGACCTAGAGGAAATGAAGTCTCCGAATGCGATGACGAAAGCCTATGACAAAGGAAACAAACTACATATGAAATGGTAAGTACAGAAAAACCTTTCATATTAGCTCTACAAATTTGATATAATTCCATTTCATACATCCAGATAATCTGTTTTTAAGTTGAAAACTTACATCACGTATATATTTCTTCTTTTAAAATTTCCGATATCAGAATAACAGTGTAATTAACCTTTGGAAAGGAAAAAAAAAAAAAAAAACTATGCCCGGAAGAATCTTTCCCACACGATCACTCAAATAATTTCCTGTACGTATCTCCTACCAAGTTTACAGACATCATCACGAGAATACAAAACGAAATTCACTTCCTCAAAATTCTTGTTTTGACACCCCCTGAAATTTATTAAAATACAAATAAGTGAAGCTTCAGAAAAATGCGGCAGATAGTACTATGCACCAGAGAAATAAGTAAGGGTGGAACGGCGAAGTAGATGATAATTCCCCTTCCACCCACCTACACACACCCTCAAAAAAATAAAGGAAAAAAACAGAAAAGGAAAAAACTTTGTGACATACCTTCGACTTCCTCAAATTCAATTTCCTTAACCAAGTCAGATGCCGCATTATACTCAAACCTAAAAAGGAATTGCAATACATGTCTTTAGTGATAGATCAAGACTCAAGAAAGTTTCAAAACTGTTAACAACAATACTCAACAGAATTTACAACAGTTAAAATTTATATGAAGAGAGCATAAAGGACTAAACAAAGTTAGTAGTAAACATTTTAAACTCGGGGTCAGGAAATGTTACAATATGGCTTTAGTTATTACAATGCTAACTATCTAATAATTCCTGGAGAAAAGGGACTCGGCAATGCGATGATGTTGGAGACATCTGCCAGGCAGGTATGTTATGGCGTACCCATGTGTCAATTTTATGCACATTAGGACCCACCTTATGAGTTTTAGGACAACAGAAATGGGATAATGAGATGTATTCTGGACATAGAAATTTGGAAAAAGAAATGGATACTCTCAGTCTCATTCAATGGCATTCCATAGCTTAAGAATGAAATGCTGGAGGATATAGGAGTAAAGAAAGATCTTCTAAACCTTATAACAAATTATATAGAATTTCCATTTAAACCCATTGTAATTCTCACACGTAATCATTAATTTTGTACAGCTACAAGAGTCATACCAGACAGAATCTTACAATCCAAGATAGACAAAGATGATATACCAGGAATTGTATAACAAAGGGATTACACATCTTAGAAGCTCTGGGTTTTTCTCTGTTATATAATGTAAAACTTCAATTAGTAGCACACATCACACAATGCAGCTCAACCAAGTAACATGTAACAATGATTTGCTGAAACATGGAGGAAAAAAAATAAAAAAATCTGTTGACCTCATGGGGTTAAAGTGTAGGTGTGTCATTTCCCTTCAGAGCATAAAAATTCCAAATGTAGGATTGCTAGAAAATTCAACTGTTTGCTTGCTAGCATCTTTGTACAATAATAATTTCTAAACAAATTTTGTAGAAATCTTTAGGGAACAACCACATAAATTTTACCAGAATGGCATTACTATTTTGCCCAATATTGTGAACATTTTTGCGTTAAAAGTTGAAGTGAACAACTCAAACATGCCCTGGCTAGATCATGTAAGCAACCACAGACAAGGCAACAAATCATTTAAATAACAACGACACATGGAATACATAGATAATTTAAGTTAAGCAACAATATATAACACAATGTAACAGGCGTAAATTCCAATTACCTATTAGAGGAATCCACTTCAAGTTCATAAGAAGATGCTCTCTTAGTAGCTTCAACAAACGCAGTGACGATTTCAGTCTTTCGAGTGCTAGCCATAAGTAGATCATACTCTGTTGGAATTATTATTGCAAAAAAGTTATCACTCAGTTCACTGAGACAAATCTTCTCAACAGCTGCAAGGGCTATCCTCCGTTTAAGGGAACCAGTCTCTGGGTCAACAACGTAAACTGCAAAATCTGAAATTAACAGAATGCGACATTTTATCTTCCCTGAACCCGTGAACTTCAAAACTTTATCTGCAAATAGAACTTGCTGGTCCCCTGTAAAGAAGAAATGGAATAGCATTTAAGAATTTCATGAATTAGTACACCAAATCTTCCTCTCTCTCTCTCTCTCTCTCTATATATATATATATATATATATATATGTGTGTGTGTGTGTGTGTGTGTGTGTTTGCTTTCTTCAATAATGTATACAAGGCTTTTAAAACTTTCCTTTGCATATCTTTCATTACTCCTTTCAGAATCCTTAAATCAGAGTCACATATACAAACAGAAAATACAATTAATTGATTATGTATTTCAGATGCTACTTCATGTGATTCTTTAATTTTAGTGAATTGGTTTTATTAGATTTACGAAGCATCCTGCAAGATAACATATAGCAAATTAGTCAAATTCAAACCCTAAAGCTCAATGTTCAATTTCGTTAGTGCTACCATAGTAAGAAACTCCAGACAAGGCGTTCAACAATCAACATCAATCATTAAAACTAAATCAGTGTTTTAACAATTAAATGATTTAACATTCACTTTTAACCACAGGAGACGAGGTTAAAAAAGAAAAAAAAGATTCAATTTACATTTCCAAAATGATGAGATGAGATCATCAGCATAAGAATAATAATAATTCTCATTATTGACATTACAACTTAATTCTTAAATCACATATCAAAATTATTTAGGGGGAACCTTGTTTGTGCAAAATCTTCTTAAAAAAGGGATGAGAAGAGACGTCGATGTAGTCCCCTTTACGGAGCTTCTCTTGAGAATCCGGTTCATCGTGTTCGACCGGAGAGGAATCATCGTCCTGAACGTCGTCGTATTTGGATGGCTGAGATCCGGGATCGTCAACCTGGACCCGCCTCTGCATCCTGAACCGTTCCATCGCGCTCGTGTCTTTGCCTCCAAGAGTTATGAGCTGAGTCGCTGAGATGAGCCAACTCGCTCAAATGCGCGCGTTGAACCATTTCCATGTGGAGTGGACCCCATCTTTTTCCAGCTGGCATCGCTTATGAGGTGGCTTGTTATTTAATTTAAGTATGAGTTTTATTAATTTCATGTTAAAGAAGATAAGTTATCTCATATCATAGAGATAAACTTGTGGGCTCTAGCTCTACCACCTGAAAAAAAAAGAAAAAAAAAAGGAGACATACTTATCGAAGAATGTGTAGGAAAAAATTATCACATGTAACATAAAAATAATTTTTTCTCAAAAAAACTATTTATATATTATAGGATATTACGTGAAACAGCATAACGCGTTTCTCAACCCAAGTGTTGCCTCTCCAGCTCAAATTATATTTAACTCACTTTTCCTCTCTCTCTTTTTTATCAATAGTTGATTTGAAGATTTTTTAAATTAAAATAGCTCATTCATTTTATTCATTCATTACAAGTGATAAATAATTAATTCATTAATATTTTATTTTTAAATTTCAGTTAATAAACCCACAGCAGAAATAAATTAAAACCAGATTTGATCTCAAATTTTTATATTCACCAAGTCAAGTATCAACCTTCCTCTATCAAAACTCATATTATTTCTATCTTAGCTATTTAATGATTGATCTTAACTTCCACAAATGGAAAGGAATGAGAGGATAAAAGGACAAAAGCATTAGAGGGAAAGAGTATATATTAAAATTAAAAAGTAATTACTTTTATTTGAACAGGCATGATGATTGATGGGGAACGCGGTTTCGTTTTTATTCCGACAGTAGTACGTATAAAGCAAGGGGAACGCGGGGAAAATAAATGGTTTTATTACTTTTATTGCACATGTTATTTGTACTGTTGATTGTGAAACGACGTCGTGGAAGAGGGGATATGATTAACGAATAATAACTAATCATTATGTGCCCGAAAACAAAGACCATTCCTTTTGGGCTGCTACTTTTTGACCCCGTATAGAAAACGCCAAGTAGGGACCCACACCCACTCCGTTTCGGATAATAATAATAATAATAATTAATAGAAAGGGAAATACTAATTAAGAGAGAAGAGGTTGTAGAAAGGAAAGAGAGGGGAAGCTAATCAGAGAAAGAGAATGGATCGAATCCTCAGCCGCACCAGACATTTATAAAAACTCATTTCCTTCTCAATTAAATACCACACAATCTTCTCTCCTTCTTCCATTTTAACCTTTTCTCTGTCTCTCTCTCTCTCGTTGTGGTTCTTCTTCATCATAATCACAAATACTAATCTAAACAAGGCAAAATATATATATATAAATAAAAAAAGGAGGATCTGAGTTGCTTTTCTCTTACCGTAGGAAGGTGTGATATCTATCTCAATCTGTTGATCTGTTTGGTGTTGTGTTCAGGCTATGATCTGATCTGATTATATCTCATCTAATCTTTAGCTGATTTTGGATTTTGGTTAGGTTTTCACGATGGCATCCAAGCGGATCTTGAAGGAACTCAAGGATCTCCAGAAGGATCCTCCTACCTCTTGCAGCGCCGGTATTCTCATTTTTCATGCTTTCATTTTCATTTTTATTTTTGTTTAAATTTTGGTGTGAAGCGCGTATTTCTTGGGCTTTATACGATCCTGGATTCTCTATCATTAATATTTGTAAGGAAATCTTCGTCTGTAATATTTCGAGAATTCGGACAATTTCTTAGCCGTTGGGAGGTTATAGTTATAGGTACAAGTGCCAGGGGGGTCATTCCATGTTAGGCAACAATGATGTAAGCATGATTCAATCGCAAATTCTTTGCGTTTTGACTTGATGATGCTGAAAGGAGATCGAGTGTGCTAAGTTCATGTTCAAATCTGTATGCATGTATGAGGGACGTCTATCTGATTTCATGATTTGAGGCAATTATAGGGGACAAAAATATAATTTTAAAATCATGTCTTATTAAGACCAATAGGAGATATTAAATTATTAACTATTATAAATATTTTTGAGGGAGTGTCTAACTATTATTACTAATAGCTTATTATTATTAAAAATATTATTTTATACATAAAAGAAAAAAAAAATTAAAATTTAGGCAGAGGCCGGCTGCCAATGCTAATCCCTCCTCGGTCCGCGCTTGTGCACAACACTGTGCACGTCTGCTCTTTCATTTTAACAAACTCTGTGCATGTTGAAGCTTACTATTTTTACTCTTTTTCTTTTTTTGTTGCCTGATAAATGATAAAATTATTATGCGGATCCGGCCTCTGTTACATGATGCCTCACTTGTGTGTTTAATGAATAAATTTGCCATAAGGAAATTGGAATTGCTGCTGTTAAGGACTGATTATTGTTGCAAATTGCAATGTTACACGTTACTGTCTGACAATTGTCCAACTGTCATCAAAATTAACAATATGTGCGATAATTGGTATTTCTTTATGAATGGACTATTATATCTCTTGTACCTCATTTTGGAACTCTGCTCATACCAACTGAGAGGAGTGATTGAAACTAACTTCTCTGCTAAGTTACTTAAAGTCTCGTCAAGATTTTCATATGACCTTGATCTTTATTGCCAAATAGACAAAAGCAATGGTATAATTCTAATCTTGAATTATAAATATAGTTGGATAAAATTGTTGAAATTTTGCTCGGCTAGCTCTCACAAATATCAGCAGGCTGTAAGCCTACCAATTGACACAGCTGTATGCTGTGCTCTTTTATGCTTGGAATTTGTCCATTCTTGTTTTGATGTTGTGGGGTTTAGAAGAACTTTGTGTTTATCCCAGGTTTCGTATTGTTTCAAAACATTGCAGGTCCTGTTGCTGAAGACATGTTTCATTGGCAAGCAACAATTATGGGTCCTCCGGACAGTCCTTATGCTGGAGGTGTTTTCCTAGTCACTATTCATTTCCCTCCGGATTATCCCTTCAAACCACCCAAGGTTTGTATTCATTCAAGTGTCTGTTTATTTCTTTAATATTTCTTCACTGACTTTAATTCTGTACCATTTCATTTTTAAATAATGTTCTAATACATTTTTTTCACACTTATTCACTTATTTATATTTGGTCCCAAATTTTCGAAATAGGACAAAATTTAGTATAAGATGGTTTATCCTGTTGAAAGTTTTAATGAGGACTGTACCTAGTGCATATATCAATAAATTATATGTTGTTTGCCATCAAGCAGAGCACCACATAATTTCTTCTGCCGATCCTCATAGATTGTGAATATCTTTCAGGTTGCATTCAGGACAAAGGTATTTCACCCAAATATAAATAGCAATGGAAGCATTTGCCTTGACATATTGAAAGAGCAGTGGAGCCCTGCTCTAACCATTTCCAAGGTCTGTTTCTTGATTATTTCACACAATGAGAACAGCTCTCTTTCCTTAAAATGTGTTTTACTTATTCTTGCAATGTAACCATGGTATTAATAACCAACAATATTTACAGGGCACACGACTCTAGTCTGTATTTAATATTTGTATTAAATTTTGATTTACAATGTAAAACATTTTTAAGCTATCATATGTATTTCTGTATCTTAAAAAAAGTTTACTTTTTAGATAGCTAATTATTATAGTAAAAAATAATAATTAATGATGTATCAACACATGATTGAATAATGATGTAAAAACATTTTCATTGATAGTGGAATAAAAAAAGGGTAATAGTTTTCTTATGTTGTAGAAGATATGTATTATCTCCTACACACTCATTGGTGCAGGTGGGGTCCATTTTTAGAGGAAGAGAGAGAAAAAGTAAAGTGGGACCCATTTTGAGTTTGTGTGTGTAGGAGATAGATTATATTTTATGCAACATAAGAGTAATAAATCCCATAAAAAAATCTTGATATTTTTATGCTATGAAATCTGAAGGGCTGATTTGCATAAGTTTGGAATTATGTTAATTTTGAATGACTCCCATGGAAGGAGATCGCAATACGTAGCTTGATAGTTGATACTTACAAGCAGATATTTGGCTCTTGTAGTCAGGGTTTTAAGCATCACCAGACTAAAAACTCCTTTTATTCAGGACAAGATGTTGAATTGCAACGAAGCATTATTTACTAACTTTTTCTTTTGCGTGTTTAGGTGTTGCTCTCAATTTGTTCCCTGTTGACGGACCCAAATCCTGATGATCCTTTGGTCCCCGAAATCGCCCACATGTACAAGACAGACAGGAACAAGTACGAGTCAACTGCCAGAAGCTGGACCCAGAAATATGCCATGGGCTAAGTGACCTGTGGTATGCGTGAGGGAGAGCCTTTTTAGTTCAAGTGTTTAGGCCTAACAGCCCTTGTATGAATATTTGTCTGTCGTCTTCAATCATGAACGGATTAAGGCCCCTCCATTAAAGATCAATGGGGGAAAAACGTTTCTTCTGCTGTTTGTATTATTGCAAATGTTAATTTTTGAACAGTGAAATGTGGCCCAATTCCATGTTTGCTAAATTTTTTAACTTTGTTTTAATAGTGCCATCGCATATTTATTTTTTCCTTTATGAACTTGTTACTTACGAATGTTTGAAGGATTGCTCATCACCGTGTACCTAATAGGTTTTGTTCGACGGCTGACGTGGGTCACTATGTGAACTATTATGTTTATATTTTATTTTTTATTTTGCCTCGGTTAATTGATTATTCAATTAATCGGATTCAATTTGAGTTGTACTTGTGAAGATAACCTTATTTTTATTTATATTTGGAGATTTTATATATTCTCTTGAACTGCAAATTAAAGATATTAATATTATAGTTCATAAACTTCTTTTGTTTTGATCGCTTTTTTAAATACATATTTTGATCACTTTTTATTTCCTCTTTTTCTTTTATTTATAAAATATTATTATGTTTTATTTATAATATGTTATTAGCATTATTCTAGATAAGAATTTGTTTACTATATAACATGCATGTGTCACGTATACCTCTTGTAATATCAACATGTATATCTTTACATGTCTTACAGGTTACAATGTGATACATGAGTATTTTTGGTGTTCAAATTCTTAACTATCTGCCTAAATTTAGATTTTTCTTTTTCCAAATGTCTTTACAATGTTGAAACTCACAAATCTCTTCATATTTCTGAAACAAATTATTTATTATAGATACTTCATGTTGAGATTTATCTTAATGTCATGAATCTTGGGAATACTGTTAAAAAAGGAAACCAAACATGAAACATCCTTGCGGTATTGTTGGGAATTTTGAAAAATATTAGTCTCATTCAACTAGAATATATTTTTATTATTTAGTATCAAAGACTCAATGAATCATCCACTAAAATTAGAAAGATAAAAAAAAAAATCACTTTCCTAACACATGCATTTGCTTCACCCACTTCTTCTTCTTTTAACAAATAAAAAACTATTAAAAAAAAAAAAGTCTTTACTACAGGAGCGATGAAAATTTTCTGCCAAGTAGCTCAACACCATTCCTTGAAGTGAATTTGGCACTTTCTCAAGCTTGTGAGAAAAATTGTGTGAGAGGAAAGGGTCGTGGAAGGAAAAACAATTAATTTAAAAATATTAATAATATATTACAATATTTTTTGTATTAATACTTTTTTAAATCATTAAGTTGAGTTAATATCTAAAAGTTCAAATTTTATCTCTTCATGAAAATAATATTTTCTATTCACTCTTTTCATCAATCTTAGCATGTTTTTTTAATCATATTAAATGATTGTATTTGAAATAAAATGCTTTGACCACTCTTTATTTTAAAGTGAAGAAAGAAAAGAAAAAAGATTTTAGTTCAAAACAAAATATACTAATACTCTATAAGTGGCGGAGCTGGACAAAATTTTAGATAGTACCCAAAAATTTAACATGCAGCGGCGACTGATGTTGATTTTGAGAAGACCAGCAAGACTTACGGTCTGTTTGGATGATCTTTTTTTTCTTCAAAAGCTATTTTTTTTCAAGAAAAAAATACTTCTCGTTTTTAGTTCGTTTGAATGTCAGCTTTTTAAAAAAGGAGAAGTCACAAAAAAGTCAAAAATCTACTTTTTTTCATAAGCTAAAAATTTTAACTTTTAAGAAAAGCAGAAGTCAAAAGCCTAATATTTTTATAAAAATATAAATAACTTTAACTTTTGTAAAAAATACTTTTAAAATAAAAAAAAAATAAAAGTTACTTTTTTTTAAAAGCCGAAACAAACGACCTCTTAGGGCAACGAAGGGAAGCTGTTTTGAGATGCTGATTTAAAAAGAGGGGAAAAAATAGAAAAAGGAAAAAAAGAATGATGTAAATGAAGACGTGGGTATAAAAGTAAAATAAAAATGTTTCAAAAAGTACAATAACAAATGAGTGGTTAAAAAAATGAGAGAAAAGATAAAAATTAAAGATAAAAAGATTACAATTTTGTTATATTTATATAGATAGTGTCAAGTTACAATTTTAGCCATAGATAAATTATAATTAATATAATTATATATATAAAGTAGCCAAGGCATTAGCATGTTACGATGTGGCTACGCCGTTGTCTTCTATTCACAATATTAGTAGTGCCTTCAATACACCCTCATTATTATCACTATATACTACTAGTGCTTGTAATTTTTTTCTAATACTAGAGTCAAAATTTTAAGTGAGTCAAAAATTTAATTATAGTGATAAGTATTTAAAACCTTCATATGTTTTTCATTAAATCCTTAAATTGTTGTACCTAAAAAGTTTCTTAAATAAGTAACACGATGCATTTACAATTTAACCCTAAGGCTGTGTTTCATACCAGCTATCTTAGGATATAGATAAGCATTGGCAATTTGGGAATCTAATTATACCACGTTTGGTTGAACAGATTTCAAAAATTTTCTACCAATATTATTTCCCTAGCCATCATGTTTGCATGTAAATTGCACCAAAATGGATGTCCTCACAATCCCACTTTGGATGTGGTATTTCACGTTGTCTAGCTAAACCGCACAAAAAGCAACATTTTGCTGACGAACATAAACCTCAGCTTATCTCACCAAATCTAGCGCGCGAATTTGAATATCTTCTACCAATTCTAATTGTAGACTTGTCTGACCACTTTTTGATATCCAGACTTACAATTCACATTTTTATTTCCAAAGTTACACATACTTTTTGATATAAAAAAAGTTGTTTTTGTAATTGCAACTCATTTTCTTATCAATTTTTTATCTCCAACCAAACATAGGCTTTATAAATTTTACTTAATTTTTCCGATAAAATTTTTCTAATCAAATAATTTTTTTTTACATTTTCTTACCAAACTTATTTTTTCACCATTTTCTTAGTATTCAAAAACCTTTTCCTGAACCAAACGCCCCCTAAGAGACTAGTTTGGTCATGAATGAGCATCTAATGTGCGGATAAGTATATAATTAATTTTCGAGTCTTGTTAATCTTAATTATTTAGAATCAATAAAGTCCCAGGTAAATGCATGCTTTTAACCAGAGGTGAATTAATTAGTTAAGAACTTGAGGTGGTGCGTGCAAAGTAATAGTGATATTGTCTGATTATAGTACCATAATAAAAATTATTTAAAATTTTAAGTGAGTAATTAATAATAATAATTTTTAAAAAAAAATTGAAAACCAAAATAAAAAATCCCCTTATATTATTTAGAAAGTTACGAAATTCTCTGACGTTTCTCATTGACAAAAGAGAAAGGCTAGCCCAGCCCATAATAAACTGGACTCTTAAACTTTATATTTTGTGCTTTGGATTGAAGCTCTCACTTAAACAGCCCAATAACATTCCAATCTGGAATCCCCTTTAAGAGACTAATATAATGATGGCCCACGAATTTTAATTTTTTTCCTTTAAGCCCATAATGGCTGACCCATCCCACTTAAATGGTGTTGGTTACATTTTGCAGCCTTAACTTGGATCCTCATCCTATTTTTGTGTACCTTTTTCGAAAGGAAACTTAGGCATGAAAATTCCACAAATTTGTCATTAGTTTTTTTCTGATCAATTACAGATTTTTCAAAGTTATATTATTTGCATAAATAAAATTTCTTACAGACTTTCCAAGTTGTATCACATAAGAGGTGTGTTTAAATATCTTTTCCTTTAGCCAAATCCAACAAAGACACAAGATCCTTTACTCCTTTGGCACTGTCAGGTAACGAAAGTGTGAAAGCTGAGAATGCTGCAATGCCAGCAGCCAAAAATTGTAAAGTTCTGCACTAAATTCTCCCATGACAATATTAATTAAATACCTCTTTATTCGTCATTTTATTTGATTTTGATATCAGTGCTGCTAAAGAAAGAGGTATTATAGATGTAACTCATTGAGTAATTATATGTGAAAATATATTTTTCCTCACATTAAGTAGTTGTATGTCGAATAGTGTGTGTGTATACAAAATAATTTTAATAAAATATATCTAAACATCTTTAAAAATAATTAGATGTTTTTTTAAAATAACAAAATAAAAATAATTTTTGTATTTTTCTCATAAAATGAAAAAATACTCTGAAAAAAAAAATTAATTCATAAAAATATTTAAAAAATGCACTATATAAATATAGCTGTTATATAATTGTTTGTCAATTTATCTCCTTTAATTTTGTTCCTTAAAATCGGTTAACTAGCAACAGGCAGCCCTACGATTCATCTAAATTTGCAAGTGGATTTGCACAGCGACTGTGAGTATTAATTTCTGTAATCTTTTGAATTTTTAAAATTAATTTTATGATTGCAAGGAAAAGAATTGATTCTATAATTGGAAAACTCTATGTTGCACCAACACTGACACAGGACACAACATGACACATCCGTCACACCGACACGTTAATTCTAAAAAATGTCATATTTCGACACATTGGGACACGTTTTGATATTAAATAATATTTTTAATATATATAATATAATTTATATTTAATCAATATAACAGCTCATAATAAGTCATATAAACAATCAAATATACAAATTTCATAATATAAATATAAACAAAAATAATTTTTTGTACCTTGTTAATTTTTCTTGTCAAATTTCATAACAGAAAAAATTGATTTATATATTATTTTTTTATGTTTAGGTAATAAAATAAAATTTAGACCTAAAAAAAACATGTCGAAACGTTAATCGCGTTTCGAAGCGTTGACTGCATGTCTCCAAATATTGACCGCGTGTTGGAACATGTCAGTATCCGACACGCATTTTTTTTGAATTTTTTCTGTGTCCGTGCTTCATTGGGAAAACCTACAAAAAAAATTAAAACATGTATTTGATTTTCAAAAAAAATAAAAGGATTGGACAATACAAAAATATTAATTTATATTTGATTTTAAAAAATATTCATACGATATGATAAAATAAAAGATGCACCGTATAAGATAAGTTTAAAAAAGGGTTTTATAAGAGTTATGTTGTAGGAAAAGTGATTGTGTTATGTTATAGAGATTCGTTTTGCGTGCCGAAGTTTTTTTTTTTTTTTGCTGCGGGCCCCACAAAATGTTGTGTGTGTAGGAAA